TTTTTTTTTTTTTTTTTTTTAATGTACCACCTTTATTCATTGTTTAACAGGCAGGCATTGTTATAAGCCTGCGTTTTAATAATGAAGTTTTTATAGCAACATCTAGAAATAATTACCCTAGTACACACCTTCTAATACATTGCTTCAGGATTATAACAATTAAGGAAGCGAGTACATGAAAGCTGTTTGGTTTTTTTTATACATATGACAAAAAACACTTGACCATAACTTTTTAGACTACCATAAATGTTTCATACCACTTGGTTAGCAACCTTGGTTAAAAAGAAGAGACCAACCTTTTGAAAACAAAATCTATCTATTTTTAGTGACCATTTTTCAAGAGACTTTTAACCTTTCAAATTGAAAAAAAAACAGTGCTGCAGAGGGTATATTATTCTTATTTCAGGGAACTTAAAAATCAGAATTTCTTATCAGGTATCAGTAATCCAGACAGTACACTAAGATCAAGGAAAAAACCTCACTGTCACATAAGCACAGAACTCATTGTGTTGATAATACAGTTTGATGTAATGCAAAAAGGTATTCACCAGTGTTTTAGCCACAATCTTTACATGGCCCATAGCTTAAATATTGATTCACTTTATGTTCTCATGAGCTGTAGCAATATTATAGAATTAGTTTAAACCATTTAGGGACCTGCCACATGTTCAAATTAAAGCTGTGAATTGTTACACATTTTCAAAGACTAACTTTGTAGCTGGTTGGCTCTTTTTATAGCTATGTGGACATTTTTATGGTGTGATAATTACTTTGTACGTGTGGCCAGCCTTACTTGTACATGTGGCTGGTCTAAATTTATTGTGCAAATAATACAGGCAACCCTCGCTTAGAGCCGTTTCACTTACTGCGGTTTTGCTATAACACTCATTTAAAATACCTACCTAGTTTCACTCAGTGCTGAGCATGTTTCACTATAATGTTCAGCATGGATGTGGGGAGAAACAATGGCAGTGGCAAGAGAAGGGGCGAGCGGCAGCCAGTGGGAGCCCAGGGAGGGGTGGCAGGAGCCCAAGGTCCACCCCGGCACGTGGTCATGGAGCAGGCAGGGAGGATCGGTAGCAGCGAGAAGGGGAGGGTGGGGGGGCCATGAGTTTGGAGCCCAGGCCGGTGAGGCCTGGGAGCGCAAGGTCTGCTCCGGCACATGGTGTTGGAGTGGCCAGTGGGCAGGGAGGAGCGGTGGCAGCAGCAAGAAGGGGTGGATGGGGGGCATGAGCCAGTGCAAGCCGAGCCTACAGAGTACCTCCGCCCCCAAGCCTGCAGCGATCTGGCGGTAGCGGGTGCCCAGGAGGGAGCCCCCGCTGTGCAAAGCAGGGTGTGGGTGGCTCCACTGCTTACCCTGTACCAGAGCCCCGACTCAGGCCTCACGGGCGGGGCAGCTGGGGCCGTGCACAGGTGTACTGGTGGCCAGCGGGTGCAGGCTGGCAGGGGAACAATGAGGCTGGGAGAAGCTGATGCTTTCCCTGGCAGAGCCCATGTGGTGCCTTGCCAGGAGCGGCCTGGCCAGAGCCGGCAGGAGCGCAGGGCTGGGACCGGCAGGGCC